GATTGTGCTTATATAACCACACTCAACTTTTGATTGCTCCTATTATGGTTCAGTCATTGATTTGAAACTCCAGATATGTTACTAAAAAATACTGTCATGAAAAAAGCCTAAGGGATAAAGACATTAAAGATAAAATCCTATCCCTAATTATTGACAAATATTGAATTTAGCAAACATTTTCATTATGCTGATATCAGCAAAATGTCAGGAATTTTTTTTTTTTTTTAATTTACCTGTTCAAAGCATTCCTATAAACTAGATTTCAAATGGTTTCTTAGAAAAATATAGGCAAATATGAAATTTAGGCTGAAAAATGATCTACAAATGGTGACCTTGACAAGTGGTAGAATGTACAATGAAAATTTAAGAGGTATAAAAAAAAATCTTACAAAGCTTCAAAAAGTTAAAGCCATTATTTAGAACTCTGGTATTTTAAAGTTGGAGGACAAAAAAAACAAAAAAAAACACCATCTCTCCCACCTTCCACAACTCTAAAATAACCTCCTTGGTTATTAATATTAAGTAAATAATTGTTCGTGTCTCGGGTTGACTGGAAAGTGAAACTGGATAAGGGGAGACCACTGTACCCTTATTTATTCAGTAAATAAAAACTTGCGCTTAAAAAATAATTCCTCCATGGCTATAATAAAAACTTCAGTTTTTTTTCTTTCTTCTAGGCTGTAAATTAATGATTAATTTTTTATTTTATATATGACATTTACCATGCCAACAGGTGTGATGGAGTGTTACAGACAAATGTTCCTCATATGACGTTCATTGTTTTATGTTGACATCCTCTCTTCTTTTTAGGATTTTAGTTGGCCGCGAATATGTTGGTGCTATCATTGGGAAACAAGGTCAAACCATCAAACAAATAACTTCACAAAGCAATGCAAGGTGAGAAAAGACATTTCTTAACTTTTTTTTTTTTTTTTTTTTTTTTTTTTTTTTTTTTTTTAAATCTTTGTTAGGTTTACATTTTCACTGTATTTCTCTTACCTTCATGTTCAAAGAGCTAGCAATAACATAAAACTGTATTATAAATGATAAATACAGTGTGACTCAAAAGAGTTTGCAAATACTGATATTTTGCATTTTTTTTCTAATATGCTTTTATGGACAAAAGTTGAATATTTTAATTCCTTATTGCTCGCCCAATACCCAAACATTACATATTAGAATAAATTATGAAAATTAACTTTATTCGTGAATTTTTTTCTTTGAGGAATTAATATGGACTCAGTTTTTGCAAACTTTAATTTCAATACAAAAAATTTGTCCTGTTCAAATCAATTGTACAAAATAATGAAAAGGAGTATTATGTATTATATACCAATGAAAGTTGGTATGGCTTTGTTTAGATATCAATGTATGAAAACAAAAGTAGCGCATTAATATTTAATTTTCCAGCCATCATTCTTAAGAAGCTCGATAAATTGTTTATTGACTGACAAAGTGAGTTTCCTAACTTCGCTAGCTTTAATTTTAGAACAAACATGCAAAATGCACTTCCACAGGTGATCCTTGTTAGAAAATTGCCATCCATTTTCATAAACTCGACACTTTTACCATGGCCCAAAGGTTCTCAATAGGGTTTAAATTGGGACTCCGTGGTGGCCATACCATAAAACCTTGATTTGCCAACCACTCTTTGGTGAAGCATGCCCCATGACCGGAGATTATTATAGAATTCATTTTGTGAATTCAACCAGGGAATGAAATTTTCTTTTAAAACTTGGCAATAATTAGCTGAATTCAGTTTGAGTCCTTCTGGCACAAAAAATAGTCCATTAATGTTGAGCCACAAATTTCAGCCCAGAACATCACTTCACTTCACTAGTGACTTGTTGGCGTTTAAAATGCAAGCAAGGAGTTCCATGAATGAGCCAACCTCTTTTCCAACCATCAGGGCTGTCTAATGTATCTTGGGCTTCATCCATCCAATTACTCTTTGGAAATCGATTTTTAAGTAATTGTTTGCCCATTCTAACCTCTTCAGGTGATTCATTTCACTCAGTGGAGGGCATGAAATTGGAGAACATTGTTTTGCTATACTATGGAGGATACTTCTTCAATACCAGCTTGCTTAAAAATCTCTTTGCTGGTGCTGTGAGAATTCTGCTTGAGTGCTCTTAATTTTTCTTAAATCTCTCTTGCTAACTGCATGTGGGTGACCACTCTTGTGCTTCTTGCACTCAGCTTTACCATCATTGACATATTGCTTCACTGTGCGATAATCTTTGCTATTTCCAGTGTGGTTTTATCATTTGAGAGTATTTTGATATTTTGGCATTTTCATCAGCAGTAAGCATCTTCCTACAAGCCATTATTTTAAAATTTATGATTTCTGCAAACACTCTTGATTCACATGAAATATATAGAAATACTTCCATAAATAATATGGAGATTTTCGTTAAACCTTTGTCACGTTGGACATATCATTTTAAACTAAATATATTTATTCTAATGTTTACACAAGCCATGACAGTTGTTTAAATTTGTATATTCTACTTATGTTATAGGTGCAAACACTTTTGAGTCGCACTGTAATATAATTTTGACTGATTTGGTTTTATTCTGTTATCTTCAATGTTATAAATGATAATTGGACTAACACTTTCATGTCCACAAAAACATGGAATGTCAAAAAGACAGTTTTTCCCATGAGAACAACTTTTATTTTAACTACTCCTTGGCAATGTTTGTTTTTAAAAGGCGATTTATTAGAATTTTAATAAAACCTAAACATGAAAGTGACTTTATACATTTGATTTGTTCTTGAGAATTGACAATAAAACAAATATTTATTAGATTGTCTATTTACACTATTGTTTATTAGAATAATTGGCAAAACATCAACTGACTGCCAATTGATTCAAACTTTATAATATGATTTGTATAGTTGGTTCACATATATTAATTTAGTAAAAAGGAAATGAGTGGTGATGGTGTTAGAGCCTTAATTCAAATTCCAGTCAAGTTCATTACATACATTTATGTGCTAATATCATTGGGAAAGGTATTAATCCATCAGCTATAGGTAAATAACAGGACAAATTGGGCCCTGTAGCTTTGATTGGCAACCAGTTTAGGAAAAGAAAAACTCTGAATTCAAACTTGCCTGGAGATAATTGGGCTCCATCAGATTGTCTTGCCCAGGAAACACCACTGCTGTTATGACTGTAGTAGAAGTGGTGCCCCTACAACCCTAAGGGGTTACAGGATTCATGATCGTGAAATCAAATGTCAAGTGGATTTCAATTTTTAATGTACTAGTTTGATGAGTGGTTATAATAATTTCTATAAGATTCAAATAATAGTTTAGCCACCATTGTGTGAACTTCTTTGACTCTTGTCACAAGGTTGGCAAAATTATTGTAAACTTGCTCGTTTAGATTTAGCTCCCTTTGACTTCTGCCTTTTCCTGTGGCTAAAATCACTGTTGAAATGATGTAGAAAAAATTAGATATTGTTATGAGGCAGCTGATGGTGATCCTGAAAAATAACTTTTGCACACTGTCTTAAAGCAAAATGAAGTGGTATAAGGAGAGTTCTTTTGAAAGGACTAATACATTATTGCCATAGGTTATTTTTAGTTAATACTATACCACTCAGAAACCAGTTGAGTTTTTTTTAAAAACAGTTCATGATACAAAAATGAAGTAACATTATTGCCAATTTCATTACACATTTTAATTTGTATTTAAAGACTGTAAAGAAAGTTTGTTGTTCCACTGGGCTTCATAATTAACATATTGTGAAAATGTGGATGAATAGCTTAAAAGGGTCATTAAAAATGAGTTTTTATTTTTTTTTTTTTTTTTTTTTATTATTATTTGTCATACATGCTTGTTCCATCCTAGCATTTATTTTGGAATGCATAACGGCAGCAAATTGGTGTTCGATTTATTTATTTATTTATTTTATTTACCATCATGTGATGTGTATAGCCTCTTCACCTTTCAAGTAGTTGTTTATATAAAAAAAAAAAAAGTTGTGTAGTGAATTTTTATAAATATATTATGCATATTTAAATTTATTTAATGTTATAATATATTATGCTTATTTTTCATACATATAGTTGGAATATGCAAGTTGTTTACATAATAATACTGAAATTCCTTTTAAAAATGTCATAAAAAAAATAAAAATGGCCTTAGCCCTTTTCTTAATTTTAATGAAACTTAGCACTGCACTTGGTACAATATGCTCTTAAATTGATTGCAATATTATGTATCGTTTAAGCTTTATCTTGGGAACACATCATAAAAGATTAATTTTAATATTACATAGATTAAATGGCTGGTTAATTTCCGAACACACTTCATACTTTTTATACCCCCATATATAGAATTTTGAGGATGATTTTGTGAGTGAGTTCTTCAAATTTTTATGTTTGCATTCCAAACTTAGTTTACAAGTTGGAACAAAGAAAGACTCATGAAAAACCCTGTATAAACTTTTAATTTATATAAATAACTAACACCATTGGTTTGAACATCAATAGTACCTGAAATTTGCAATTGGGGATTTGAAAGAGTCAAGTCAACATATATATAAAAGAAAAACGGCCTAAAAATATTAACTCAAACCAGAAAGTGAAAACTTGTCAGTGACTTGAAACAGTGTGAATATATTTCCAAAGTTTTTTTAATACTCTCGCATTCCAATTTGATAAATATATGAATCATATTATTCAAATTCTGGAAGCAAATTCATTGACAGTTTCAAGTAACCTTGACACCATTAGAATTTTTTCATAGTTCAGGTTATTTCCCCCCCCCCCCGCTTTAATTAGACATTTCCTTTGTAATATTCTTTCACTGTTTCAAGTCACCAGTTACAAATTTCATGCATAAAGTTGTTAATTTGTTATACTTTATTATCCAATTACTTAGTAGGCTGAGGAAAGGTATTAAATAGATGTCTTATTTCCAAAATTAATGCATTCTGTTTACAAATGGTTTCTTCCCTCTCACCCCCTTATTCATTTTAGTTTCCTTAAAAACTAGAAAAATTGTGGTCTTCAGCTGATGACTTATGGGCATATTAATTAAACCATTCCATTCAACCAATTTTAAATTATATATAGCGATAACCTCCATTGTCGGTGCTTAAAGTGTAAGCATCTTGTTTTATTTCAGAATAGATGTGCATCGCCCACCTGATAATTCTGCACCAGAAACTGTAAGTACTCTGCTTATAAGAACATATTACTGGTTGACAGAACTTGAAGGCTGAAACAAACACTTATGATTTTATACTTATTTAAATTTTTAAAAACTTACCTACAAATGTTCATTGAATTGGCAGTTCTTCAAAGCTCATTTGGGATATTGTTTAATTTGAAAAATTAAATTATAAATTCATCTACAATATAAATTAAAACTAAATTACAAATTTATCTACATGTATAAATACATTTACAGCAGATGGTGTTGAAAAGTCCTCTGCTCACCCAAAATGCTCTTAGAAAAAAAAAATAACTTTTAAAAATTAGGTATTTGGTCATATTTTCAGTTGTTTGGACCAAGAATTTTTGGTATTGTTCAAAAGTGTAACCACACATGCATGTACAAAATGTATAGAAAGATGAACATTGTTTAAAAATATTTTTCTTCACCTTTTCAGTGTTGTATAGTCTAAAATTGTTAGATAAAAACAGGATATTTTTATATTACACACATACTATTACAAAAATTATAAAGTTTAAAAATTAAGGATAACCTGTATTATTAAATTTAATGTGTGCATGGAGTCACTTTTGTACAGAGTTAATAAAACTTGCAAAATCCTAAAAGATTGAATTTTGACCTGAATACGCATACAGTATTGCATATGAGACAAGTAGATATTTCCAAATATTTGACCATGTCAGTGCATGATCTGAACTTCAGATGGTGGCACATGCTGCAATAAAGTTCAATATAGTAAGAGTCCAATGCAAGTAGATAATGTCTTAAATTGCAGTTTCATTTATTTAAAAAAAAAAAAAAAAAATGTATGTATTGGCAAAAAATTTTAGGTGTTAGTAAAATTGTCACTTGTCTTTGCACAACTTAATTCCAGTGTTTTTTTTTTTTTTTTTTTTTTAGCACAAATATAACCTACTGTTGTGATAGTATTTGCACATCCACTTCCTGAGGAAAATAAATGTTCCTTGCAATCTCAGATGTATTTTGTATAACTTTAAAAGCCTCAATATTTTTTATCCTTTCATCCAAGCAAGGTAATAAAATTGCTAAGATGCAAGATATGAGAGAAAAATCATTATTAAGGAGAGCAGGCAATAAAAGAACAAGAATTAAAACCAAAGATAATGATTGATATTACATTTTTTTTTTGGATGGAAAGCAAGAAGCTGGAGATAGCAACACAAGTGATAAGTGAGCAAAGACACTGTTAGCATGAAACTTAGTTACATCTAGCCATTTCAATTGTAAAATATGACCTTGCTCCAATTTAATATTGTGCTCCAGTTCATAAACTCTAGATACTATAGAGGAAGGTTAATCCGAACAGTTACCATGAAAATATTTGTTTAAAAAAAAACAGGTATAGAGAAGCTGTCATGGTAAAGGGAAAGTGACTGAAGCAAAGGAGATGGGTTGGGACTAGTAACATTGCAGATTCTTTGTATTTCATCAAGAATCTCTGCTTACATAGCAAAAGCACCAGACTAGATGTGGCAGCAATATTCAAAGCATAGACAAATTGTAGAATTTGTAACTAAAATACAGTTTTTCTCTCTCTCTCAAAATTAGGTTTAGTTCTTTTATTAAAACCAGTCTTTTTCTGTTTACCAAAATGTTTTTCTTTTCACACAGCTGGTTACAATCAAAGGCAGCTCAGAAAGTTGTACAACAGCTTGTAAAGAGTTAATGAAAGTTGTACAGCAAGAAGCGAATTCTTTAAACAGGTCAGTAATATCTCCATTTTTCTGCTAATTTCTTTTTCTTCCCTCATCAAATATATTATGTAATTTTTAACACTTTCAATTTTCTACAAATCTGGAATGGTTCATATATTCTCTTTTATGCAGGACTTGTTCCTTAAGGGTGTTGTGTCCCAACAGTCTCTGTGGACGCATGATTGGAAAAAATGGAAGTGTGATCAAAAGTATTATGCAAGATTCAGATTCTCATATTGTTGTTTCAAGGTAAGTTTTCTTTACCAAGAAACCTTTTTTAATAATAATGTAGCTGACTTAATGTCATCAGCAAACATTTTGGATATATTTTTATTATACCAGATTCACAATAAAACACTATTGGATCCTTGAGTAACCACTCTTAAATAAAATGTGAAATCAGTAAAACAGGCTAAAAATAGTAATACTAAATAAAAACTAGATAATGTATTCTTAGAGATGAGCAGTGGAACAAAATTTAATCTGTAGATTAAATAAAGGGTCAGATTTGAAATTACCTGTAGGTTAACCAGATTGACAAATACTTGAAGGCCAGAGGGCACAACAGCCAAAACTTTGTGACAACTAAGATGAAGACAATAGTCTGCATGTAAATACAAGGTAACTAAAAAATGTCCTTGCTGTTTTATATTTTATAAAAAAAAAAGTATACATCAAATTTGACATACCATTTGTCCTTAAAATAATCCCCATTGACATCCAGAACCTTTTGCCAGTTGCGCAGTGTCCTGTGTTAAAAAGCAGGTGTATTGGACACAAAGAAATGTGTGCCTGCCACAAATCTGCCTTATTTGCAAAGGATTTATTGCAAAATTTGTCACTGGTGAACACTCAAGAAACAGGCTGTCACTCATCACTTGTTGGCTTCTGACAGTGTTTTGGCTACTCACTTGCTCAACTTGTATGCCTTCCCTATGCAGTGCAGGTGAAGTTGGACTGTTTCATCCTGGAAGTGTTTGATGTATTTGGCAACTTGATATGGCTGCAGACAAGCCCACCTTAGTCATAAAGCACACAATTCTGAACAAGCTGCTTTGATGTTATGACTGATGTGTATGCACAATGTATTGTCACTGGTCAAGAACAATATCCCCACTGCTTTCCTGGTACTCACTTCTTTCTACACAATATACAAAATGACAAAGATGTTTTTGGTTACCTTTTTATATCCGTAAAATATATATCTCTCAATTTATCCCAAGCAAGGTTACAATGCCACAAAGACACAAGGGGCTACTGGGAGTGAAAGAGAATGAGAAAACTTTAGAAAGAACATGAAACAATGGATACACCTCTACTGTTCAAAATCCCTGGGAGAAGTGTGAGCAGGATAATAGATGAGCCCATCTCCTATTATATCTCCAAACAAGAAGATTGTCGAACAACCTATGGAAGAGTCTTCTAAATTATCAAGCTATCTTTAACAGGTAGATATACAAAGGTTATTAATGACCAGTCATCAGAAGCTCATGAGATCAATTCTGGCATTCCTCAAGATTCTCTTCTTGATCCTACCCCTACTTTTCTGCTCTATATTAATGATCTGCCTAAGAACATACTATGTTCTTTAGTGACCTATCTATGCAGGTGGTATAATAATAGTTTATAGGTGAACCTCCAAAAATCTGAATGATCAGAACCTGTAAGTTGATCCCTCTGACCTTGTCCTGGTAGTTCATTGAAAGAATTGGCTTGTGAAATTCAATAGGTCCAAAACCAAACTAGTAATGTTCAGCCATCTCCAAGCTGACCCTAACCTTTCAATCATCATGATGGAAGGGTGTTCTTTCAAAGAGGCTCCCTGCCTTGAATGCCTATTGACACTCCAGCTTACCCCCAGACCTGTAGTGGAATTCATCTATATGTACTATTGCTAAAGATACGGGGGAAATGGTTAGTTCTTTGTACTACTTTAGTAAGTATCTGAATCCTCCAAGAGTCAAATCAAACCAAAAACAGTATTGCTGCTCAGTCCTTACTTCACTGTCTTGATAGTAGAAAAGCTTCTGTACAGCCTTGTAGGTGAGGAACTTTTAAAACCTCCACAACCCCTTTCTCAGACAAAACATCACAAGCCTCTTGTTACTCTATCACTATTTCCATGACAAGTGTTCTGATTAGCTGCATTCTACAAGTTCTGACCATTCCAGCTGGGACCTGCCATGCCGTGGACTATCATCCTCATTCCCTTCATATTCCACTTGGAAAGCTTCTTCCCAAAAACTGATAGCTTGTGGAACAAGCTCTCGCATGGATGCTTTGCTGAAGACTACAACTGTCATGAGATCTGCAGAATGGGACAAATAAAGGGTGTTTCATTAAGACGGATTATATATAAGGGTATTTCAGTTAGAGGGATCAGTCAGCAGTAAATAAATTAGTGTTGTTGGTGAAAATTTTATTTCTCTATTGGATCATGTTATTTAAGTCATGGCAATTATGTGTGAAAAATATTGTCCAAATGTCTGCCAAATCTAAAAGAAAAAAAATCATTAGACTCTTAAACTTGATTCACATTTAAAATCGGTCCACGTTATTGGAACACCTTTTATAAGAAAGTTCTGTTCGAGCAGCTTCTTCCCAGAAACAGATTCTCAACATGTCTTCTACAATCTTAACATCTTCAAGACTAGCGTTAACCATTATCTTTCTTGTATAACCTCATAAACTGCAATTCTTGCCTTCTCTTAGTCATAAAACATCATAGAGTAAACCTCTACCTTGAGTGGTTCCTAAGCTTTGTATTAGGTGAACATTTTTATAAAAAAATTTTTAAAAGCTAATTGGAGACAAGAACAACACATAAGATTCGCCAGCAGTGTATAGAAGTAGTCAACTGCTAAGTGAATTCCACAATGAATCTACAACTGCAGGATATCTACCAACCGCCCCACACGGTCTGATGTGGCACAAAGCTGAATTTAATGTGGGTTATCTGAGCCAGTAGGCTTAGCCAAAAATTCCCTGTAGACCCTGTATAAAACTGGTTTAGGTAGCTGTTTCCAGAGACGACTCTGACCTTTGATGTAGCCTCGTCTGGGGATCCTCTCTGCTTGGCGGCAGAGTTTGACCAGCACAGTTGGAGATGAATCTCCAACTGCAGAATATTTATTGCACAATAAGTACAAATGTCACAAGGCCAAAAAGGGGGGAAAGGGGGAAAGGATGGTCATCTTCTGTCTTAACATTAAACTTAGCTAGCCACAAACACTGACCCAAACCTACAAACAATATTCTCATTCTTACTTACCATTCTTACCTCATCCACCATAATGCCTCAGAAACTCTATGAAGTCCTAACTAGTCTCCATTTATACAATTCATTGTCTGTGGGGGGAGGGGAATAAAATAAAAATTTAAAAATGTAAAAAAAAAAAAAACCAATGAGTATAAAACTATATACAAAAATCTAAACAAAATAGTGTTAGTAATAAAGGCAGTGAACACAGTTTGGAGACTTAGCCAAACCCGCTGAACAAAGTCTTTTGGCGACCTAGAGGGCCCCTCGAATCAACAGCCAGGTGAGTGACACCTCAGTGTTAGTGAGACATTTCAACCAGGGTGCTCAAGGCCGTATGCAGTGAACCTCCTGCTCCATCTGACCGAGCTCACCTATCGAAGCATCTTGAACATTCCCCCTAACTAACACCTGATATAATGCTTTACAGGACAACGGCTGGATGTCAGAGAGGCCATCTTTCACCCTTAAAAGCTGCCTGAGAGCAAGCCGACATTCGCAATAGGAGCCCTTGCCTTGGGGCATACTGCCCGCCATCTCCTCGCACAAGCACATACTTAAGAATGGAAAGTTTCTACAAGCGTCTTCCTTCCAGAATTCACCGTTCTCATATAACAAAATATCAAAACTCCAACCCCCCCGTTCAGGCTATTGCAGGAAGCGCCCAGTATCTTGCCATACTGAAAGCAGCTAGATGTTTCTGGATAACCTATGGAGGGACCTTGTATATTGCTACTCTAGTCCTTCACTTACCTTCATATTCGGTATGCAACATCTTTCATCAAATGACAAATTTTGCACGTATGTTTGTCAATGATGAAAACGGACACTATTCTTTTCTCCCTCTTTCTTAGTTCTTGGGTTCTTCTAGGAGCCCACCTTCTACAACAAGGTGTGCGTAACTCTTAGCTTGCTCCAAAAACACCGCAATATTGATTATGCAACCAGGGGCGACTTTCAACAACAGGGCGATTGCCCAGCCTCTGTATTCTCTTTTGTTTTCTTTATTTTGGCCATTATTGGCCTCCGTACTTTTAGTTGTCTTGTTTGAGCAATTCACTTCTTCCTTATCTGGGGGTGTACTTGCCAAAACTCGGTACTCCTCCATGCTATCTTTGTCAGGTGGGTCCTTTTTAATGGAGTACAAGTGTTTTTTTAACAGACCTCCTTAAATCAGCTATTATGTTTTTGTTTTGTTTTTTTTCCTCCTCCACTGATGGAAAGGGAAGGGGTGGTAAGAACAAGGGTCGCCTATAGGCGGAACAAAATGTAAAAAAAAAAATAAAACGGCAAAAAATATGATTAATAAACAGTTTGCCTAAAAACAAATTTAAGACAAAATGAAAATGACTTTCAAACAAAAAAAAACAGTTACATGTGCAACAAAAAAAAAAAAAAAAACACTATACAGTAAAAACTTTTCAGACAAATTAAGGACTTGACAAGAAAAACGTGAACAATTGGTCACAAACAAACGAAAAGATAAATATACACAAAATTAGTACAGAAAACAACAGTTCAAATGAAAAAAACAAAAACAAATGTTATACGAATGAAGACCTGAATAAATTACACAAAATAAAGAAAACACTTTAAACAACAATAAACCTTTATTTTTCTATAAGTAAATATGAAAGTAAAAAGGACAAGCTACAAATACGAAATAAACAATACATATAAACTAAACAAAAATTCAATATGGATGCCTTAAAAGTAAAGGTTTGCCGATTATATATGAAAATAAAATTATATAAACAGACAAGTTAGACTAAATAGACACAAAAAAAACAGTACAATTATGAAAACAAGAATTAAACAAATAAAATGCAGAACACTTAACGGATATTTAAAAGGAAAAACCAAAGAATGAATTAATGTATAATAAATAACACATAATAAAAGAACAAAGAAAAAATGGTCGAACACAATGTAGAAAAATAAACAGACTCTGGGAGGGGAGTATAGAAAATCAAAAATGAAAAAAATAACTTAAAAAGGAGACTTTAACATAAAAATCAAAAACTAATAATAGAAGAATAAATACAAAATTAAAGGAAAAATAAAAATGGGCATGTAATAAATGGAAAAAGTGAAAAAAATCAAAGTTTTCAAATAAGTCCGCAAAAGAGAACGTAAAAAGTAAAATAAATCGGAACAAAACGGAGTTTGTAGAACAAAAGAATTTCTTAGTGTGACAGTAAAGACTGTCTTATCAAGTCTGGTAAGGACTTCAAAGTTCTCCAAATCTCCAACTGCAGACCAACATACAGTATTTATTACTGTATTTATATGAAAAGGGACCTACCCATTATTGTCTGTAGGTATGCTACAACAGAAAGACTCAATGAATTCGGCTAGATATAAAAAACATTCTAAAATTCCCAGCACCCGTGTGTCTACCAACAGAACAAATTTAGTCCGATGAAGGACGAAACACGTCACAAGTATATATACCCCCTGGTCAAAATCTTAAGACCAGATACAAAAAATACATTTTTTCTAATTAAATATGTTTTGCAAATATATTTTGATTAAAGTAACAGTATTTTTTTTTTATATATATATATATATATAATATTGATCAGGAGATTTATATATATATATATATATATATATATATATATATAAAAAATCTTGTATGTAAAAATAAAAGTGAACATTGAAGTCAACACTCAGGTGACAGGCTGTTTCATGCTAGACAATTGCGTCTAGCATGAAACAGCCTATTGAATTTGTAGGTCTGATGAATTGGATCGTGATTACGATTCCAATGTAATAAATTATAACAATGAAATATTAGTTTGAGCCTTTTTATTTTACACTTATATTATTCCCTCAGGAGAAGGTGGAGTGGTTGCTTTGGGAGGGTGTCCATGTATGAAACTCTTGTCAGGATGCTAAAAGCAACATCAATCAGCTAAGTGACACATGCACTACTAATATATATATATATATATATATATATATATGTGTGTGTGTGAGAGCTAAACATTTTTCTTTTCTCATTTACCTTCCCAAGATTGAATAGTTGAAAAGTTTTTTCACTGGAACCTTTTGCATACACAATATTTTGACCATGTTTATAAATTATTCTTCATATTTAGATTAATTGTGCCTTATTTTCTTACACTGTTAAGAGAAAATTCAAAAGCCTTACCTATACACAATTGGTCAAGCCTGTTGAGTACATGTAGTGAAAGAGATAATCAGTTACCCTGAAAAAAAAGTTCATGTTTTGTGTCTGATCTGACAAAGAAAAATTACCAAAAACTAGTTAGCAGAAATCTACATCAATGACTAGAAGCTATGCTAATGTTCTTCCCTCCCCTGAATGGCATGACCAATCAGAAAATACTCTCGGTGAACAGAAATCGTTTTTCGCTTATAAAAGGAGATGATTTTTTTTTTTAGCTTGGGGGAACGAACACAGGTTGTTGTTGGTGAGAAGTGAAGGTTGGATGTGTGACCCCATTTTGTCATTTCTACGTTGTGTGTTGGACTGTTATGCCGGACTATCATTTGAACTGCGATTTGGCTACAAGTGTTGCGGTTGAGAAACTGATGAAATCTATTGCAGTTGCTACTATCAGTCGACATTCTTTTCTTTACTACAACAGTACAGTTACACTCCTGAAGATCTGGACAATCAGGGAGGTATTCCTGCAAGCAGTGAGAATGCTCTGGTTCTGTTCTAATGAGCTTTCATTCCTGATACATATTTATGGTTAATTAAAGGTATATTGGTAAATAACCAAACTTGAATAAGATTTCTTGCACCTTCTATTAAATTTCACTTGCATCATCATCTAATTTACAAAAGCTTATGCCCATATCACCTTGAAACACTAGTTCCTATACAATCACCGAAGTTTAGCAATGTCAAGCCTGGTCAGTACCTTGATGAGTGACCACTTGAAGATACCGGGTCTATAAGCTTGGATGTACAGGTGGTGTACTGGATAACTCGGAATTGTTAATAGGAGAGCCAAGTTCCAATTCCCATTATGTTCATATTAACTTATATGCAAATATGCTTGAATCCACCTCTTTTCCCAGCTACAAGTTAATTAGACTTGTATCACTAAACCATTTTCTCAAAAAAGTTGTTAAGCAATGAAATACTATTAGCTACACAGGGATATCTTTTAGATTTATTTACATTCTCTGGAATAGAAATGTATGGAAACTACCGTGACCACAAGGTGAGGGATCAGCTTATATATTGATTATAATATAGAATTAATGCCCCAGTTTATATCCACATTATTTCTTTATCAAATTCTGATTAGGTATGAACCCACCATTTCTCCCCAGCTATGGGTTAAGACTTGTATCACAAAAACCACAAAAAAGTAATTCTTACTATCTAAAAATGTTTACTGCCTTTTAAATAACCTGCAAAAGGTTGACAAGCCAGAGAAACCGAATTAATTAATTGATTTGAAAGTTAAATCCCTCTGCAGACAGTACAGTAATAATCTGATTTGATTCCCTTTTCAGTATCAATGATGCCAATGTGAACAATTATTTCATTGACCGAGTGATCACCATCAGTGGTACGCCAGAAGCAATGGCTAGAGCTGAGAAGATGATCTCTGAAAGGATGAAGAAGTGTTATGCTCAAGATGCACAACAAATGGCTGTAAGTAGATAACTGTACATATTTTGTTATAAGTCACATTTGTAGTATTAGTTCTCGTGTAGTCTTTCATATGCCTTTCTAACCAATGAAGACCTAACATGTCTTATTTGTTTCTGTCTGAGTTTCTCAGATGTGGACTTAACATTATTTGCACTATTTACATTTAGCAGTGGAACAGGAACTGTCTACCCTTGTAGATTAAATAAAGGGTTCGATTTGGAATTCCCTGTAGATTACCTAAATAGGGCACAACAACCAAAACATAACAATGAGGGCAATAGTCTGAATGTAAATAGTGTAAATGTCTTATTTGGTTTGTATTTCCCGGTTTCTTAGTGTAGTCCCTTTTGCATATAACCTATATTATTAATCAGCTATTTCACAATAAGTTAAATGATCTTCATTCTGAGTTTTCAAGATTTTAAACTAATAATCACATTGGCCAAATTGCATTGTGAGTTTTAAGCTAAATCCTTTTGAAAGGTTATTCTAATAAAAATATAAATGAGTAGCAGTTAGTATGTGACTAGTAGCTATACAACTTGATGCGATTATACCCCCCTCTCTCTCTCTCTCTCTCTCTCTCTCCCCCCTTGCATGTATGATTGGGATGTTTTTGAACAACTAATGGGCCAGAAGTTCCATGAGGCACAAAAACTTTCAATGTTAGCATCTTAAAATGTTTCAACCTTTCCAAAATTAAATTTCAGACAGTGAATTTTGCTCAAGCCTTTTTGCAGAGTAACTTCAAATGAGGCAATTAACCTTTAACATTTGGGAGGTGATTTTGTTTGCAAAGCAAAAATTTTATCCTGCTACTGCAAGTGACTCAGATGAATGAATGATAGTATATTTGAATTTTGCAGTTGTTGTCAGGTCCTGCTATAGCAAACTAAGAACTGAAGCTTAATATCACATCAGTAGAAAAACTGAATTAAAGAAAAAGCAACATATAACAGTCAAAGTTATAATAATGATAAAATCTTGAATTTATCATGTCCATTCCTAAATTCTGACCATTTTTAATGAACCCTACTCCTTATTCCAGAAGGTACATGAAGTAAGCAATCTTTTCTAAATACACTACTCTTTACTTATACACATTTAGAAAAGGTTTACTTTGAGTCTTCACTTATAACTGATATCAGTGTGTAATTTAAAATGAAAATTCTATACTGCATAAAAATCAGATCCAATATTTACGAGGCAGTTTTGAGTGTATTGAATGCTAAACGGTTAAAATGAATTGTGAACTTTTTTTCTAATGGTTAGGTATGTTTTGTTTTTTTGTTGATTGGGTTGGTTTGTTATATATATGATATATATATATATATATATATATATATATATAATATATAAAGTATCAGAATTTGATTTTATCAATAATTTTGGCTAACTTTTTTTGCTCCTTTCATCAGAATTCTCACATTCTTTTTATACATTCTCTGACCATTTCAATTAGTCACATGGAACAGAAACACGTATAACAGATATTTATACTTGCTGCTTAATTGTAAAATATGTACAAATGACCTGGAAGTTGCAAGAAAAATTAAAGATAATCACTTATTAAATAGTCACTTGCACAATTCTTTCTTGAACACAACTTTCAGAAGGCCTGAAGATTGTGTTCAAGCATGAAACTGTCACCTCATAAACGTGGACACTGAAGATGACATTCAAGTTTGAAACACTGTTGCCATTTAGTATTGACATTTGTATACACCCTTATATTACACTCTCTATCCCAAATATTGAGCACTTTTACCCTATAAATGTAGCATACCTTAAACTGTTTTATCATAGCCTATATATTATAATCTAATTCTGTCAATACTTGCATTAATTCATGAACACTGATACTTTTTCCTTTTTCATAAAACAGAATTCACATGAATTAAAAAAAAAAAAAATTACTTCCTCAAAGAAATATTTAGTCTTTCAGTGTATGTTTGTGGGGGTGTGGGGGGAACACATTGCAAGACAAATGTCCCTGCCATGTTTCTGACATCTTATCCCACTCAATAATTTGAAAAAATTTCTCCTTTGCTATGTAACGTTTTTTTAAGGGAGATAATTCAGTTAATGCATTCACATGCCTTTTTTTTTTTTTTTTTTTTTTAATGTTTAATATTAAATATAGAGGTTGAGACTGGTCTGTGCATTTAACTAGTAAAGCATAGCCCTTGCCGCTTCAGAGTAGCTACGTGAAACTTAACCATTTGTTTTTTTTTTTTTTTTTTTTTTTTTATCTGTTGTATAATACTTAATTTGGAAAAATGCTCCTTTTCCATGGGGAACAGTTATTTTGCTGTCCATTCCTTCCTATTTCATGCACAGCCTTATGGGATTTGCTAGAAATGACTTTCTATTGTTTCTTGAAGCATCTCATTTATTATAAAAAAAGACCCATTTTCCATTTGATAACCACAAAGTGGAATTCTTTTATAGGTTTGCTTATAATGACATACTTTCCAAATTGCTTTCATACCTAAGGTAAACTTTTTATATTCAGTTTTTCTCATAAAAAAGTGAATTGATTTTTATAATATATACATTATTGTTTCTATAATTAATTATGCAGTAGTTTTTTTCATTCATGTTGAATAATGGACATCATTGTATGTTATCCTCTTGCAAAGTCTCGAACAACGTTTGATTCAAATCTAAAACCTATCCATAGTTTTCTTAGGTGAAAGCATGAGCAGTGAACTGAAGTTTCCCCCACTAATTAGTCTTTTCTGTCTTATCTACAAACTGTAATTGAGTGCATGCTTAATGTACTGAAGCAAGCTTTTTCTTTACCTGAATATAGACTTGACTTTGGTCTTTAAGTAGTAACTCGGCTATTTAATTAGCATTAGGAACAAACTTTAGATTTTTTTTTTTTTTTCTTAATGGTCCTGGGTATGACGATAATCTATATCCAGCAACAAGGTGTGGAACCACCTCTTAATTGCTGTTGTTCCCAGGTTCACCTTGACTTGGGGTGGTAGCACCTGTTAGGGTCCCAGCTATGGGCAAATATAATTAACCTCCAAACTGGGGTCAAAACACAATGAAAATATAAAAATAGTTCATAATAAAAAATACGAGCAATTTGTTTTTGTGTTAAAAAAAAATTTTTTAAATTTAAAAAATTACCAGCAATACATTTGACTCTCGACAAAAACTCTTTACAAAAGTGTCAATGAAACCTGATCTAAAAACTAATTTCTTACAAAGAATACATATTCTATTCATACAAACCTATTCTAAAATTCTTGTTGGCATTAAATAACCTATTGAGGTTGATATGCCATAAAACAAACTTGGTCAAAGATTTTTTAATTATCCCATCATAAATTGATTAAATGATCTTGACTGTTTCTTTGGTACCATGGGATGCAGAGATTTGGTGATGCCCAGAGCCAATTCCTGATTATATTCTAAGACTCAATTGGTGAGCGGGGATCTACTCTGGTCTCGCTTATCAAAACACGGATCCCCATTCATACTTATATTTGGGACTGCATGATGCTTGTACAACAAAGTTAATAATTTCAAATTTTAAAAACTAAATTTTTATTTCACTCTTTGATTGAATGCCCTCTTGGTATAGATGTCCAGGACTGTCACACCCTCTGCCACCCTACTGCACGCTATTGCTTGGGTATCACAAGTATTGTCTGCTTGATATTATGGTTTCTAAATCCTCAAATTTAGTCACAAATGTGCCATTGTTTTAAAATCCTCCCCTTATTTGTTAATGAGCAAGAAGTTATTGCAGCTATTTAGAATTTCACTTGTGATTTCAGCTTTGTAGACCATTGTTCGAAATATTGAAGTTTATATCAGCTGTTAACATTTGGATGACATTTTTACATTTCTCAATGAATTTGATCATTTTCTGCAGGGATTAGCACAGATAACATTGTACCTGATAGATGGTTGATATGCCATGGCTGTATGGCCAAGTGGTTAGGACATTCGCTTATGAGACTCTAGTTTGAATATCATTATGGTTTGTTTGTCAGTAAGGTGACTTCATGTTATCATGAGGTGATCCCAGCATGCATCACCTTTTGGAAAGTGTCTGAAAACCATACGCGTGCTTTGTAAGGGAAATTGGGTAGACAGAACTATTCTGAAGCTATTGATGGTTGTGCTAGCACAAGTCATCATGACTGAGGATGTGAGTGTACTGGCCATGTTCAAGCTGCTGACCATGCCACATTATGTGCTTGCCCCAAGAATCTGTAAAGTCTTCTCAGCCTAGTTGCAGTATGGCATGACAATTGTGTTTAGTATGAAACACTGTTGCCTCTGGGTGTTGTCTTCAATGTCTACTTTTATATTTTTTTATATCCCTGATACCGAGCACTTTAACCCATAAATATAGCACACCTTAAAACTATATTTTATTGCACACATATATAGTCATCCACAGACAGATTGTTTCACTGTATCACAGCTCCTCAGTATGGCTAGACGTCTGATTGCTTCAAGCAGGGATCAAAACTTGACTGATTTGACATCAGTCAGATATCTTACCCCTAGGCCGTTATCACATCGCAGAAAAGAAGGGAACATTTTCTCTATACGAAATACGCCAGTGGTTTGGAGAACTCAATTTATATTTGGAGTAATGCTTAATAACAGTAGGAGCTGCTGTTTTTAAAAATCCCTTTCCCTAGAGAGCTCAACCGTATATAGTTATCCAAAGGCAGACTACACACACACACACACACACACACACACACACACACACACAGAGTTTTGTCTTCACAAAAGCACTACTGTTTTCAGTACTGGAAAGCTTTAAATAATGGTCTACGGTCATTTTATTGCATCAGTAAAGGGTTGAAATGGTAATAGGTAAATATTAGTATTGGTTGGTGTAAAATTCTACCACTGCTTAAGGATTAGAATTCTCATAACAATAATTTAATTATATAAAAACCTTTTTATTTACTTCTATTTCTTTGCAGTTTTAATAATAAAATTGCATATATCATCCCTTTTCTTTTATCTTTCTCACAAAATGTACCATTAAAATATTCATGCCTTTCTGAAAATAACTAGATTATTTCTGTCAAAATTTTCAGGATGCAATGTTATTTATGTTTACATATAGACTATTGTCAATGTTTTTATCACATTTTGGTTGATGTACCCTCTGACCTGGATCAGGTGCTTGTTGATTGATCATAGTAATCTTCAAGGTATTATTTGGATCAACAAGCATCTGATGAAGGCCGGTGAACTGAAATGTTGGAATAATCAAAAGAAAGATAACAGTAATATTATCTGTAAATGAGAATTATATATTAATGAAAATTTAATGGCAGCTTTTATTTTAACTCTTACCCTCCTAGCATCAGATTAAACTTTTTTACATTATGACCATTTTGCTTAAAGTTGGTAATAAAAATTTAAAAAAAAATAAATTCAATTTTTTTTTTTTTTTTTTTTTAATTATGCATCGGTTTTTAATTGATGCATAGAGAATGTTTAAGTCCAAATATAATCAGTAATTTGGATTAGTAATGTTTGGAGGCATTTTAGAATGTATATTACAGAGTGCATAACTTTCCTATATTTCCACTAAATTAGTATTTTACTTCCTAATAACTACCTTTAGCCAGTATGACAGAATCACCCTAAATATTAGTCACTTTTTCTTTTTTTTCATGGGTGTGACAATATCGTCATCTCAAACCTGTGTCCACTTGGTTGTTGGCCAACTTTAGATTTAATTTTTTTTTTTTTTTTTTTTTTTCTTTTCTTCCCCTATGTATTTTTCCAGATCCCACCATATATGTGTGATCCCCATAATATGCCTCTTGGAATGGTCAACATTGGCTTCTCACCTACAGAGCTGGACCACCTGGTAAACTCCTCCTCACCTCTTGTCTTGCTGCTGTTACTACCACTCCTCCTTCTTCACTAACCCTAACTACTACAATAGCAGCAACAGCAGCAGCAGCACCGGTTGTTTAATCATAGCTAAACTGTTGAATTTCTTTGTGTGACTCTCAGTAAACTCTGTCTTCCCTTCAAGCCAATTAACTGTGCATGTTATTAGCTATTTTTCAAATAAAGGCTTTTTTTAAATAAACTGGGATGGGTGGAGTTTCTGTTCAGCCTGCTTATATTTTACTTCTCTGTAATTTTGCAATTTTGATTTATTTAAACTTTTTTTTACTGTCAAATGTTCCAATGTATTTGTCACATGTGGGTTCTGTAACCAATTAGGACCGAGACGCCACATGCAACCATAGCAACAGTGGGTATATCTTGAATAAGTTAATCTAATGGAGCCTGTCCTCCTTCAGACTGGTTTTACTTCTCTGAGGCTTGTTAATGATGATGGCTCGATGGACCAGTCTGCACTACTGTCCTCTCCTAGCTGAAGGGAGAGGTGATTCATGCTTTTTCTAAGGGTATATCTGCAAAACTGAACACAATAGCCTCTGAAATTTGAACTCTGATTGCCAGTTCCACTTTCCATGCTGATAACCAGTTACATTCACATGTAAATCAGATTCATTAAAACTTGTATGCTTTTGACTAGATTTCTCCCCCACCATCTCCAATAAGTCATTTGGTATAAACAACCAATCAAATATTTAGTTATACAATTTTCAATATAAAAACCTTTTTTAAAAAAAACAAAAAAACAATTTGACACATAGTTGGTCATAATAATTGTATCTATTGCAATAGGATACATTGATAGCAATAAGTAATCATACCTTGTGTTACCTTTCAACATGGATTATTAAGTAATGAGAAGTTTGATAATTCATTTTTAATTTATTTTTACTTTCTCTCATATCTAAATATTTTAATTTTTAAATTTTTTTTTTTTTTTTTGACAAATCATAATTTCTCAAGCAGGAAATTAATGCAATTGTAACATATCTTAAACATGCAGTCTTTTAAAGACAAAAGTTTAGTGTGTTTTTTGTTTGTTTTTTCTTCTTAAGAATAAAACTTAAATTATTCTGTTTGGTATTTTTACTGCTCCAATGACTTGATATTAATCAAACCAAATTTAAAAAAACAAAAAGAAATTTGACAGTTGCAATTGTTAATACATTTTCATAAATTTTCCTTGGTTATTTGTATTCTGTTGCACTCAAAAACAGATTGACTTTTCTTGCACTAATGGTTTTTCATATAGAATTGAAATTATTTTCAATTTCTAACATTTTGAATAGGTTTATTGCTGTTACTAATCTCTACTTACAAATGTTTTGGCAAAATTGTTGTGGCAGTCCATTAAAATAGTGATAGCAGTAGACTGAAGAAAGGTTCAGCTCATTAAATAGCAACTTCCACAGCACTTTAAGGTTTACAATGGTGGTTTTCTTTGTCTGCATTTTTATCTCATCCACTTGGAGTGATACAGACTGATCATTCAGATTTCTCGTAACAGAATGTCAAATAATCCACAAGGGGTTTTTTTTGTTTTTTTTCTCCTTCTTCCATTTGGGTTTGGTCTTTTAAACATTAAGTGTCATTATATATTCAAGCCTTGAAGGCCTTTTAGATTACTTCAGATTACTGGGATATTTAGTTGCCTATATGGATACTTTAATTTTTTTAGTTTATCTCCCAGTCTCTGCATATTAATATTTAGATATTAATGTGGTCAAATATTTCTAGTTGACTGTCAATTAAACCCATATCTGATACCTGCTAGTATTTTCAAAATTCTTAAATGAATGCAGCATAATAGTTTAAAATAAAAGCTTTGGTAAAAAAAAAAAAAAAAAAATCTTAAAGGTCTGTAATATGAAAGTTCTCTTCTGTTTTCCTTCAGAAAGCAGACACCTCACCCCTCAACTTCTTGCTACTGATGATCAGAAATTCTTCTACTGCAGTTTAATGCTTCTTTGTAAAAAGTAACTGGGCTGCTGGTGTTATTTTTGGAGTTTGTTCTTTTTAAAATGGGGGAGATGAGGATTTCGACTTTTATCAAAGTGGGAGGTGAAAATTAAGAATGTCAGTTTTGGAGTTTTTTTTCCAAACTAATTTTTATATAATTAATGAAATAATTTTTGCTTGAAACTTCTCACTGAAATGCTAATCCTCTTAACTATTAACCAACTATATTTGCACAAGCCCTCAAACAAAATTGCATTAAATTTCCCCCACCCCCATAATACTTGTTCAATTAAACCTAATGAACTAAATTTTAAATAATATGCAGTGTATGGATGTCATCTTGTATTTAATAAAAATGACGTAGGCAAAAGTTTCTTTCTCTCAGTTCATTTGGACTGTCCTTTAAGAATTTGTTTCATCTTAAAAATTGAGATGTATTTTTTTTTTTTTTTTTTTTTTTTTTACAAAACTAATTTGGGACATGTTGCTGAATGTGAAAAGTTATGATCAGGTAACTTGATTGATTAATTCAATTAAAATGCCTGTTATTAAACTCTGATTTTCATATTACTTACCTTGTGAGATAACGAGATGAAGAATAGATAACCTTTGTTTTTAAGTATAGTCTATGTGCACTTAACCATGTTAATATTGACATGGTGAAGTTTCCTCAAAGCCATCTGATTATTTTTTTCATAGGCTATTGGTCCCATGTGTGTGTGTGTATATATATATATATATATATATATATATATATATATATAGTAAGAGCTCTGTTTGTTTTTTTTTTTTTTTTTTTTTGCAATAAACAGTATTCCTTTTATTCAACTACATTTAGAGGAGGCAGTTTTGTATCCTGCTGGACGACGCTTATTTTTCTGACAAGTTTTCTCAAATATTCAGGCTGGTAGATGTAGTTGGAAGAAAAAAAGTTTAATTAAAAGAAGCTTCTCGAATATGAATATCCATCAAAAATAGTGTTTAAACAAAATAAATTAAAAATAAGATTTAATCCATATCCTAACACACACTGATTTTTTTTTTTTTTTTTTTCTCCTAATGAAAATTATTTACATTACTACCTGTCTTTTTACTGTACATTGTCCTTCTTATTGGACTGGAGATTTTCTCAAATTTTTAAATACCTGCAAAGAAATATTAAAATTCTTGAACATTATAGGGTGGGACAGAAGGATTAAGGAAGTCAATAACATGAAATAAAAAATTTATTATAAAGAATAATTTAATATTTAGACATCCTAAACATGAATATAAAAAAAAAAAAAAAAAAAAAAATCTGACTAATTATTCAATGTTTTTTTTTTTTTTTTATTTACCTTACTACCTGTCTTTTTACTTCTGTCCTTGGATCCTATGATAATTAATTCCTCCCTGTCTCAATAATAGCAAATTTAAGCAATCATGACTCTATTTTTTTAAATTTTTATTGCTGGCCTTTTTACTTCAGCCTCAACCTCCATTTTACATTCCATAGTGATTTTTCTTTTCTTCCTCTCTTTCTCCAATAATACCAAATTTAACATGCCATATGACTTAATCATGTAATTGGTCACACATCAATATCTTGCTGCCACAGAATGTTTTTATTATATGAAATACTTTAAAGAAATGTGAGTTTATGCATTCATGCTCTCTGTATCCCATGTCAGCTAATTGCTCTTACTCTTTATCCAAATATTCCACATTGATTCATATTACATGGTGGGTTTCTACTATGATAAATGCTATGATAAATTTATAGACATAAAATATCTATTTAGTTGGATTGGAGCCCCTAAACTAAATGTGCATGATAGAATCATTAAGTTTATATCATTTTTTTTCCAATTATTATATATGGTATATAATTGAGTATGTGTTAAAAAATGCCTTTTTTTTTTTTTTTTTTTTTCTGTGAAAGGTCACTATTCTTAAGTTTGAAACTTATTTTATTGCAGTACCAGCCAATGCCATTAGGTCTGCCTGCATTTACCATGATGCCTGGAATAAATAATTTTGCTGGCTTGCGGCCACCCTACCCACCCTATATGGTAAGTTTCTCTGCTAATCTCTTGGAACTAGAAGTAAAGGAATTGTTGTTCTTCAACAAAATTTAATCATAGCCTCTTTCCAAAATAGGATTCAGCACTATTTTTACACTTCAAATTTTAAGAAGCCAAGATTGCAATTCAAATGTTGAAAATTTGCTTCTTTGGTCTTATCTTAAAACTGTATTTTGTTGGTCCAGACTTTTCCAACAGCCTCCTCCATGTTTTTTTTTTTTTTTTTTTTTTTTTTTTTAAACACCTTTCCAGAAAAGCATCCAGGTGTCATGAAAATATTGTCCCCACTTGAATACAATCTATTTACAGATTATGAATAGAGATCTTTACTGTTTTTGTAATAGATTAACTGAAGCTAAATGGGCATGATACATTATATACAGGAAGTGCACATGTGCTATTCTTAAATACATGTCACTCATGAATATTCATAAGTATTATAAGGATCACACTACCACATTGCAAATGGCCCTCTACATGCAAACCGCATGAAGCATTGCGCTTATTTATCTTCAGGTAATTCATAGATTTTTTTCTCTTTATATTATGTAGGTACCTCCACAAAAATCGAAATACCTAATGGTTAAATTAATTTCAAAAATGAAAAAGCTTCTTTGAAGCTTTCATTTTAGTTTTAAATTGAAAGCTAAAGGGTTAAATTTTCTATTTTTCCCTTAAGCAAAATACTCTGTATTTCAAACAGATTATACAGATTGGAATTTTTTTTTTTTTTTTTTTTTAAACCAACTCCAGTTCTCGATTTTAAAAACCTGGCAAAAATAAAATATAACATGTGTTAAGAAAAAAAAAAATTCATTTATTTTTTTTTTTTTTTTTTTTTTTAAAGCCCTGGAAATTTTATTGAAATTAGACAATTATTTGGTTTTTCCAAGAATTTAAAAAAAAAAACGATTTTTACTGCAAAAAAGACTAAAATTCCAATCATAATTTTTGGCCCACCACTGATGCAAGAGAAAAGATTGAGATTTGTTTTTTTTTTTTTTTTTTTTTTGTTTTTTTTTTTTTTCCTCTCCTCTCCAAAACGTGCTAGAAAGAATCCAATAAAATAATTAAAAAGATTTTTACTTTTTCATCATGCTTCTCAGTCTTTTTTACCTAATATTATGGTATTCTACAAATTTTACAAATAGTACAATTTGTAAAAGATGTTGAAATGAGCAGATGCTTAGCTCTTTAGCACTCAACATGCCCAAACCCAGCCTGTAAATTATCAGCTCTTAAAGTCTCAGTTTGCACGGCTTCCTCTATTATTTGCACTGATGTTGGCATATTATGGCGAAGTATAAATGAGGTGGGTTGAACATCGAGAGTCAATATTTACCTTTTGAATGCTAAAGGGTCAAGGAAATCCAATTATTTAATCCAAATGGTTACTAGATAATTGTCATTTTCTGTTAGAAAAGTTTTTTGTTTTTTTTTGTTTTTGTTTTTCTTTCTTTCCCTCCACTCATAAATGCTTTTTCTTCCTCTGTTTACTTCTCAGCAAGGTGGCAATTGGTACCCAGGATTCTGCAGTCTCTTACCCAGCCCTCAGCTACCACCACAACCACAACAGCCTGAAGTTACCTACCTCTACATCCCAGAGAGAGCTGTTGGTTCCATCATTGGAAGTAAAGGCATCAATATACAAAACATCAAAAGAGAATCAAATGCACGGATAAAGGTGAATCCATTAAATCTATTGTATTTACTTTTGAGATAACAAATTCAATCTATATTAACCTTTTGCTTCTGATTTTTGGATCAATAAGTCTACATTTTAAACATTAAATTTTGGTTTGAAATTTTCACTGCACAATGTTTGATCTGTGATTTAATATTCAACCACTGAATTAAGTGCCTTTATTATCACTTGTAGATATACCTATGTACATTGATACTTTTTTGTGTAAAAAGTCTTAAATTAACAATGTGTTAGAGGTATTGATCTCTCTCACTTATTTAAATCCAATACAAAAATTGAGCCAGAATTTAAAAAGCACATTTGTCTTGAAGAAAGCCTCTCTTCCAGGCTGCTGTCTTTTCCAAAAGACATTTTCGCCTTTTTTTTTTTTTTTTTTTTTTTTTTTTCTCATATATATATATATATATATATATATATATATATAAATTACAAAAACCTTGAGTAGGTGCTGAAAAGTTCTATTAAATCAAGCATTCCAAGTCTAGTCATTTGTTTAGACTTTGGAAATTGAATCAGGCTGAGAATTTTACATACTTCCTTGTAATAACAAAGTTAATTGTAATTTTTCTTTCATCTAATTGACTAATATTTTATTAATTTCTTTCAATATAAGTGATTGTTGTCTGAGTTATAGGACTGTAGGAATAAGTCATTTTCATTTTGGTTTATTGAGTCAGATATTGTTTGAAGAGTGAATGCTAGATTGAATTTTAGATGGTACACACTACACACACTTTTTCTCCCCCCCCCTTTTTTTTAACAAGGAAACTATTTTCTCTGGAACATTCTTTCTCTGCTGCCCACTGTGGCTTTATGGTCACTTTTTTTTTTTTTTTTTTTTTTTCTACCTATTATTTAAATCTGTTATGTATGCATAATTCAATGCAGTCTCATTCAACCACTTATTCATCTATCACCATTTGTGAAGACATATTAGATAATTGTTGATTTAAAGTGTAATTTTACTTCATGATATACCTTGAACATGTATTATAAAAATCTTGTGGGGTGGTGGGGGTATCCACCATTGTATATATAATGTAGTTCTCTCTCTTTGCAGATATTACCTGCCACTAAAGAAGGAGAGGACAAAAAAAATCCTGTTATAGCAATGGAGGAGAGAAAAGTAATCATTGTTGGAAACTCTGATGCTCAATGGAAGGTAAATTTTTTTCTTTCTTCCTTTTCATTCTTCTAAGCTGGATAAAACTGGAAATCATTGAATTTAGCAGAGTGCCTATATCTTGTAGGATTCCAGTCATTCTTTTTAGATTGCTATTTATCTTTCAATTAATGTTCATAGGTACCTTGGATTCCTAAATACTTAGAAATGCCATCACTTTTCTTTTTTCTTCATTAGAAATTACTATGGAAGATTTAGTTAGTGATAATATCCACAAAATTGCTGTTTTTTTCTTAATTTGCATGTCTTTTTATCATATATATATATATATATATATATACACACACACACACAGTGTAACCCGGATATGAGATTTTCTCTGGTCTCAAATTAGAGCCTGTGTTACCTAAACAAAATAGGTTTTATATATATATATATATATAGATAATATTAGTGGAAAATATACATACATATGAAAAATATATCTAAAAAATTCCCATACATGTATATTTTCAGAAAAAAATTTTCCAAGAGGAAGGATCCAGGTAGAACTCAATGTCTAGGACAGAGTAAGGATATAAAAAAGGCTTAAACACTAATATTCCATGGAATGTTAGTGTTTAAAGCCCTTTTTATATATATATATATATATATATATATATATATATATATATATAACACACACAAATGGAATAGGTTCCTTGTGTTGTGCCTCAATTGATTCTGCAAGTGGTTGGAAGCATTTCTCAATATACAGTGATAGCAGGACAGATTGGGTTCTATAACCTTGAATGGCAACTGCTCTACTGCAGAAAGAAATGGCAACCTACTGCAGAAAAAAAAATCTGCTTTGTCAGTCATGTATCAAAAGATACATGATCACCTAAGCATGTTTCACGCATGTCACATAACTGTTTGATATTAGACTTTTTTTTTTTTTTTTTAGTTTGAGTCTGAGTCCAAATTATAATAGTTGCTTTAATGCTTACTGGTATGGAAAGGAACTTCTTTCCTCCAAAATATCCAAAGTTTCCTTGAAGACATCACAAGAATGATTGTTCTAATTGTTTAAAATGATAAACATTGTCAGTGTCAAAAGGGTATACAGTAATAGTACTGTCAAGGGAATAACTATCCTTTTGACACATTGTTCTTTTACAAGCACAGTTAACCTTTGTGCTTACAAAAGGTTTTTTAAATGACAAATTAGTCCTTATTCAGTTAACTGTTATTGTTGCACAAAAAACCTTAGAGGATTTGTTGAATGTACAGTAATTTTTTTTATTATTATTATTTAGGCCCAGTTTTACCTCTTTGAGAAAATCAGAGATGAAGGAGTTTTTGGTAAAGATGATGTTAAGTTGCGGTCAGAAATAATGGTTCCAAGGAGTATCATTGGGCGTATCATTGGACGAGGAGGACAAAATGTAAATATTCATTGGGATCTTTTATTTGTTTGGTTCACTTAAACTTTTTTTTTTTTCTCTCACTCTCTGGTCCTCCTACACCCCCCCCGGCCATTTCATGCTGTGTTCCAGAAATTGAAGACAGATTTGAGGAATATGCTTTGAGCTGAATTAACTTCAGTTTAAAAAAAGCTTTTACTGGATTCTGTTCTTACCTTGCACTATTGTAATAATGAAAACTAGTTTTGTGATAGCCTACAAAGCCATTGTGCTATCCAAACAACTGTTAAATGCTGCATCTTTAATAATTGCTTTTTTTTTTTCTTTTACAGTAAGGTTCATCTTGTACAAGGCCCAGAGTAGAGGGTTACATTAAGGGGTAGTTTATATGGATAGGAGTGGAAGATAACTGTTGATTCTAGATTTGAACAGGTTAAGATTGTATTGAATGGAGAAACATCCTTTTGGGAATATGTTCCACAGAGCAGTGGTTCATGGGAAGAAGCTGCTTGAGTGGGACTTACTTCTCACAGATGGAATATGGAGGCAATGTGGGTGATTTATTACTATGTAAGCAGCATGGGGGGGTTCCTAGGCATGAAGGTTTGACCTGGCAGAACCAAGAAATGTAGTTCATCCAAGCATTTTCCATGTTAGTAGTGATAAAGCAGTGAGACTCGCCACATACTGCCCGTGGGGGAGAGGTTGTAGGGTGGAAAATTCTTCAACAAGGGCTCGGAGACACTTTGAACTCTATCAAGACTGGAAAGTTATATCTGGACAGCTCCCACCCAAACATGTCAAAAGTACTCGATTTTTGGCCTGTTCTGGTTCTTATAAAGGTAGAGGATAACATGAGGGGGGTCCTGCCTGTTAGAGAAAACTCTTCCAGTAATTCCATAGCTGGAGAGATTGTGTAGCAAACCTTTGTGCCACATTTTATCAAAAGACTTCAAGATATTTAATGCTATGGTCCTTGCAGTGTGTGTTGTCAAGGGCCTCACTAATTCTGTGTGTAATTGTAGTTCGGATGTCGGCAGTGGATTGGGATGATTGAAGCCCATACTGCTGATCGCACAAGAGGTTGTTGCTATCAGAATGCACAATGACCTTTTTTGTTGATTAACCCCTCAAAAAGCTTACTAATGATGTTGAGACTAATGGATCTATACACAGACATGGAGGATTGATTGCCCACGTTCTTGAAGACCAGGCATACACTTACCACCTTCCACAGGCTTGGGAAAGACTTCACCTTCAAGCAGTGGTTGAATAATCAGGGATAATTCTGTTGATATTCTTAAAGACAACCACCTAATTTTGTCTGGGCCAGTTCTTTGTGTCGAGGCTTTTGATAGGTCTAGAGACCTCCCTTACTGAAATGAGTATATTGCTGAGATTGTGCTTGGTGAGACATGGTGAAATTGGGGAAGGGATGGTGTTTGATCTAATGTTGAGTTTGAGACAAAAATAGACAAAGAGCTTCACCTTGTCTGTTGGAGAGGATATGACGGGGGGTTGCATTTATGATAGTAGGCACAGCCACTTTGCCTCTGTTTCTAATTTGATTGGTGACCTTGTCTTCCTAAATGCTCTCACCAGTCCTGTTGTAAGCCTTTTTGGTTATTTTGTCATCAAATGTGACAAACTTGATATTCTGGTGAGCATATGCCAAATGGAGACTTTAGGCAAGAAGCACAATACCAGGTGTTAGTTTGGTGAAGGATGCATGAATTGGGTGTAGTTATTTCTTCTGTTCATCTCCCTCACTGGACCTATGTTGTCTAGTGGAATCCTATTGTGTACCTGCTAGGATAAATTATGTGGCATATCTTTTTATTCACTCCAACAAGCTGTGATTTCGTTTGTGGTCCAGGTGATGCCTCGATCTAAGTGATCTTGAACAGTGGAGAAATTCTAGCAGAAAGACCAAACTGTGTTGATAAAGCTATCAACAATTAATGATGAGAAAATATAGAAGTTGCAATCACATAACACTTACAGTTTGACTTGAGTAAATTCTTTTCTTCCCTTGAGACATTAAGATGCAAAAGTTTGTGTAGTGTGTGAGAGAGATAATGCCACTAAGATGCAAAGGCCTACTAGGAGTGAAAGAGAATGAGAAGACTTTAGAAGGAACTGGAAACTAATCCTAAACAGGAAACAAGGGACAAACATCTACTCCTGTTTAAAAGACCAGAGAGGTTTGTGAACTGGACAAGAGGCAAACCTGTCTACTCCTATTAAAATGGATGGCAGTGTGACATGAACTGAGTAAAGGTTCCTGTGAGGGCACACATGCTTAGAAGAACAAAGAACTTTTAATTAGCATTGTGATTCATGCTTCTAAATTACTCAGGACCAGACATTTTGGTAAAATTTCAATGTAATTCTGCTGGATAGGATACTAGAATAACATTTCCCAATTGTTTGGATTTTGCAGAATTTTGGCAAATATTAATCACAACTTCCTTGGGGCTGTAGGGAATTTCAGTTATACTGAATTTTACTGAATCTTGACTTTTTTTTTTTTTTTTTTTTTTTTATTATTAAAATCTTCCTAATGCCTTAAGTATTTATAGGTTTAAATTAATATTTTTAAACCAAACTCTTTTCCCCATCAGGTTTCAACCTAGTTAATCACTCTCTCCCTCATTTTTCTCCATCTAATATCTCTACTCCTTCATTCAAGATTATCAATTATCCCAATACTTCAAGTCACTAAACAATATTTCATGCACTAATATTACTTAGTCAGTGCTATTGTCCTGTTACACTTTCTCCACATGTGATGAAGCAAGTTCATCACAAACACTTAACTCCACAAGTGTGCCAGTACCTTCAGCATTAAAACAAAACTGCAAATATCATAGCTACACTAAGTAGTCAGAGTAATAAGGAAGGGAAAACAATGCTGACCTCAGTTCATTGCAACAGATACAGGGTTTCTCTAAGGATATCAGTCTCCTGTGGAAACTACTTTTTTTGAGAGGTTTTCTTGATGTTATGAGATTTCCCAAGTAGTTATCCTAACAAAGTCGAATCGGACTTGGACAACCTGCTTCTTCCACTCCTGCACCAACTTCAGGAAGCAGGAGAAACATGGATCTTGGCATTCACTGGCAATTCTACGACAGAATGGAACCCATCAAGAATCCTCATTAGTGAGACACAAACATGTGCAATTTGTCAATTATTTTTATATAGATGTTTTTGTTTTCCCCTGCCTCCCAACTTTGGAGATATTTTTTCCTATCAGATGATGTAACCCGTAGTCTTCTTGGAGCACATTAAGCCACAATACTGGAAGATGATGATGATGCTGTGGGAAACTTTTTTTTTTTTTTTTTTTTTTTTTTCCTTCCTCCCTGCAACTATTTAGATTCAAAATTGTCCTTCCTTCTCTACACTGGTATCAACCACAGGCGAGAGAGCTCATTTTGACCTTGCTACAGTGGGTGTAGTTTGACCTTAACTGCTGGGAGTGGAGTAAGAAAAGATGGATTCATGCTTTCCCCAATAATTTAAGCTCTAGGTGAACACAAACTGTTGGAATTTGAACTTTAGTTTATTTCCTAAAATGTTAACTTATAGGTTACCTGCACTTAGTAACCTTTGGGTAGTTGGGTTCTAAATTTACGTTCAGATTATAATGGTTTAGTTTAAAGGAGATGAAAATAAAACATTAAAAGAAAAGAAAAAGTTACTTCATTTGGATAGATGTTTCTTAAATTGCCTAGTTGATTTAATATTTCAAACAAAATGTAACACTATAAAATATCAGTTGATAAAACTTCATATGCACATTGAGGGCATATTCATTATCCCCCCATTAAGATTTGTATACAGAAATATCAGTATTTTGATAGGGTAGGAGTGCATATATCTGAACAGGGTAATAACAGAAAAGTAAGAAAAATTGTGTTCTCCTGACTGATACTTTTTTTTTTTTTTTTCTTTTTTTTCTTACCCTTCATCAACCAGCTTCGAGAGATGCGTCGCGTGAGCCGAGCCGTAGTGAAGCTGCCAGATGACTTATCTGATGAAGAAGTGCCTGTTTCCATAATTGGAAACTTCTACTCAATCCAGTCAGCTCAACGACGGATCCGGGACCTGATGGCATCTGCCCAGCACAACCCTGGTCCTTCCCAGCAGCAACAGGGGAGCCCCCTTTCCCAGGTACCACCAAATGCCAACCACCAGAATAGACCAGCTCCTCGGATTGTACCACGAGAGCTAGATGCTAAGTAAGACTTGTCCTCCCTCTGCCTACCACCTCTCTGCACCCTTGTCTGACTGCCACCACCACCTCAGAGGTGGCCAGGCACTATAGGAGGCACCATCACCAAGGATTCACTCACTTCATTCAAATTTTAGGAACTTTATTTCTGTAGATGTAAATTTATTTTTTTTATTTTTCTTAATTCATTCAAAATACTTTACTTTCCCCTCATTCCACTACACCATTTTTTTTTCTTTTCCTTCTCTTTAGCTAATTTAGAACATTTAATGTCATCACTTTACTTATTCTCTATTGCAGCTAATTTGTCACAGATTAATTTTTAGTGATTAAGATTCTGTAAAAAAAAAAAAAGGAATTGAGTTGTGTGTTCATCTTAGAAGGAAGATTAATGTTTCAGCTTTCAGAAAATCTTTAATCTTGAGGTGATAATTATGCCTTCGATATATCAGATGGTAGCCTCAATAATATAAAGAAACCTCAAGAATTCAATTAAGGAATAATATAAAGAGTGTCTGCAAAATAGAAAAGGCTTTACATTGGCTAACATCTATTTCCACCAAGCTCTATAATATTGCCTGATGAAAATTGGATTTTCTAAAGAAAACTTAAAACTTTTGACTTCACTCTAGGCTGAAGAGTCTCAATTTCACTCATTTTGTGACACTTGTCATCTCTTCTCAAATTAACAATCAATTAGTATTTTTTGACCATTTGGTGTTCAGATATCTGGACTTAATGGTTACTGCCTTTAGTGCCAAGAATTATAACTAATTATGTCTGCTTTTTAATGTTGAAGTGGACAGTTGTTTGCCAGTAAGTAGATACCAACTGCTCCTCTTCTGATATTGGCAGGTAACTTTTGAGAAGGCTCTAAAGGGGAGAAAATAAAACAAACTATTTTATGTGAATAACTGTTGAAGCTCTTGCAAGCTGGTTTGAGAAAATATTTTTAACAGTCCTGAAATGTTATGTTGAGGTTCCAACTTGAATGTAGACAGCTGTTGTGTTGAAACAAGTTTACAAAGAAACCTTTTTTATGTTTTTTTTTTTTTTTTTTTTTTTCTTTGGAAAGAAGTACAAAGTTTATTTTTGATACTTACTTTTGTTTGGATATTTTTCTCTTTCATCTGGTCAGTATCCGGTCACTACTAAGCCAACCAACAAATATATACACACAGGGTGTGGCAAAAATACCTCCCACATAATGGTAAGACATTAGCTACAGGCTGCAGCAAAAATACATCCCACATTTTAAACCGTCACCTGTGTGGTGCTAATGAACTTAGGCAAGTGGCAATAATGTCTTACCATTATGTGGTAGTATTTCTGATGCACCCTATAGCTAATGTCTTACGATTGTGTGAGAGGTATTTTACCACACACTGTATAGATTTTTTTTTTTTTTTTCTTGTTTTGAGGCAGAGCCAGTTCTGCATAGCTACTTGTTGGATGCTTAAACTATTTTGGGGGGAAAATCTACAAAGGGGTAAATGAACTAATTAAAACTGCAATTTAAAAGAAAAAGCCAATCACAACCACTAAATTGATTTTTTTTTTTTTTTTTTTTTTTTTTTCCTCCTCCTCCTCCTTAATAAATTCTCTTGCTTCTGACAGTTTTGAACCCAGGATTTTCAGTTTGTAAATTAGTTATCTTTGTCATATTAGTTAAAAAAAAAAAAAAAGTTATGGCTCTTCAGACACTTTCGTGGTTAAGTGTTTCTTTTGATTACAATTTGGGAATAAATAAAAAAAAATAAAAAAAAACAATTTCTGCTTTCAGTTGACAACCTCTCCTCCTCTTCTCTTCAGTTTGTCTTTGTTCTGTTGTGTCATCCAGGAGAAGAATGGGGTGGGTTTCTTCTATATTACTCTTTGCTTTCTGCTTTTTCCTCTCACCATCCCTCCCAGGTGGAGGACTGATATTATTCTGGCTGGAGTTCTTGTTAAATGAACACAATTGTTTTGAGTTACTAATATTTCACGTCTCTTTTCTACAGAGATGCTCTCTTCCTAATACAGCTCAGGTAAAGACTTTCTCTCTGTCTGCCCACTTGAGAGGAGAGAAATAAAAATTAGGAATTGAACCTGTGCTACATCAACCCTCACCTGTCTAACTCCTCATCAGACATGCCCCAAGGCCACTTTCAAAGTTCTATAATTAAATCTAAATATTGTCTTTTTTGCTGACATACGTGTGTATTTAAGTTAGCTAATAGATCTAATGTTAATTTGCATTTGTGCATGTGAGCAATACACATTTGAATAAACAAAGCACATAGATAAAATCTTTTTTTTTTCCTTCTCTTTAAAAACAGGTTAGTTATTTGATAAAGTTTTTTATTTTTTAATGCAGAATTATGCATCCTCTAACTTTTTTTTTGTCTTATAGCTATTCTGTTGATACCTGCTAAGATTTAGCCATTGCAACTTTTAACAAAGTTATAACCCTAATTGGTGCAGTTTATATTTAATCTGAAAACCCATCAACACTGGAAAAGTTTGAAACTGTCAGTGACAGAACTCTAAATAGCTATCACCCCCTCCACCAAGTCTGATTCACAAATGCACAATACAAAAATTTAAAATAGTTTCTTGTACAAGTTTGCTTGAATGTGCACATGCATGTCAACACTTCTGCACACAGATATGCATACTCACTTACTCCATCCCCATATCTCTATTTGCACTATCTTGCTGCAAGTCTACTGATGAATCTGCAGCTTGCCTCACACTGGCCATAGAACTGTCTGTGTGTCCTCTTAACTCCCCACTCCCTTCAATCTCTAGTAATTCTAGAAGACAGCTCCTTTATACTTATTCTGTTATTAAATTACCACTCCTTAGTTGACTTGATTAGTGTCTTTGAAGAAAAAGTTAGTCTCTGCTGTTTGTTCTTTCCTTTTCCCCACCTTAGTCTGTTAAAAAAAAAAAAAAATTCTTGAATTTAAAAAAAAAAAAATCAAACAGTTTGGGCCTCTGACCCCTGCTAACCTTTTGTTACATGAAACATTTTAGGGGGGTGGGAATGAAACTGAAAGATTTTTAAAAAAAAAAAAAAAAAAAAAAAAATCTTCAATTTTTTTTTATTTTTACTTTTTTTTATGATCATCTAAAATTTTTGATAAAAGGAAAAAAAAAAAAAAAAAAAAAAGAAACAATGGGGGGTGGGTAGAAATATGACATGTACATCTTACACCAGAAGATTGTTTAAGGGTTTAAAAAAAAAATGCAACCCTTGGTTTAAAAAAAAAAAAAAACTTAAAACATTAAAAAAAAAAAAAAATACAAAAATAATTCATCATGGGTTGTAACTATTGAGCAGGTAGGGAATGGCAGTAGGTGAACATGTCTGGAGAGGTATTATCTACTGCCACGGTGGAAAGAAGGGGCAAGGAAGCGTCTCTCCACCCTCCTACTGTCCACTGCCCAATGTCTGGTCCTGAGTTGATAGTGGTGGTCAGTCCGGCCAATTTCTGTGCCCTCCACTGCACTTGGGTCCTGCTTTTCTTCCAGCATGTTAGCCCACATGGCAGACAAACAGACAGATAAACACTCCTGCACATGTGATGTGTAGGGAGTGAAAGACTCCTTTTTCTACCATGGAAATAAATTATTAAATTCTATTTCTTTGACGTTTGTTTTTATTTTACTTATATAATTTCAGTCTATTCTATCCTTATATGTATACAATCACTGTACTTTAAAAGTTATCCATACTGTTCGTTTGTTTGTCCACCCACTTCTTGTCACACGTTTTTTTTTTTTTTTTTTTTTGTTTCTTTTTTATATTGTTTTTCAGAGTTAATTCTGTTACATGAAATGTTATATAAAATGTTTTTTTATAGTAGTTCTCTTGGAATGTTAAGGAGTATTTCTTGACATGCATATTGTTTGTCAACAGCATATAATGTTTTAACGCATTGACTGCTAAGATAACTTGTGATTGGCATGTTCTATTATGGCCCTATGAGCCTTCTCATTTAGCATTTTCTGATACATTTTTCATCAGTGGGGGGCAATGAGTTTATTCAGTGATACTTTTAGTATGAAAACAATGTTAAAACTTCAATTGAACCTATAAATCAGGGGTGGCCAACCTTTTGATTCCATGCGCCAATATTTTGTACGATTAATTTAAATGCGCCACACAAACATTCACTTCTTTTCAGTACGTGTTGTAATATGGACATATTTTAAAGTTATAATAAAATCTCTTTATTTGAAAAATATATGCTTATGACCAGGGGTGTATCCTTTGAGCACTTTCGCAAAGGACATGCAGTAAATATAAAATCACTGAAATGAATGAGTTGAAGTGGCTTAGTTTCTTTTCATTAAAAGGATGCAATGCGCCACTTATGGTGCATACGCCACAGGTTGGCCATCCTTGCTATAAATCAACTTTTATTGCCTAAGTTGGCTATTATAAAGTTTGTGTTTAAAATCGGGTTCTGTAACTGACCTGACAGTCACTGCATGAACTGTACACACTGTTCAACAGTGAACGACGTCATTTTGCTCTGCATTTTTATCAGCTTCCAAAAAGTTTCCTTCACCAGAGCTTGGGTCAACTTGTATGTTTCAGAAGCACTTCCCAACAGTACAGCATGCTGGGATCATATGCCCAAAAGAATACTATGAAAACATCACATCCTTGGTTGGATCTGAAATTCAACCCCCTTGTCTTGTGTCGGGAATATTAATGTTTTAACTATTAACTCATTATTCCCATACTGAAGATGCAAATATGCTGCAAAGAAATAATCAAAATAGTGATAGATTTTAAACTTTATCTTGTTAAAAACTCAGAAATTCAAAGAAAATATGTCCATTTTGTTTTCAGGTTAGTTTCCAGTTCATGACACCCATAATCCATAAGGGTTCTAGGGCTACTACATGTATTGCAGCCACAGTAGCAGTGTAGTTTCCTGGACAAAGATAGCCTGACAGAGCCCAACCCATTCCAGGTTGGTTTTAATTCAGTTTTCCTCTTCCTAGACTGGTTGCCAACCAAGGCAACAGGAACCAGTCTGTCTTGTTATTTACCCATAGAAGAGATAGATGCAAATATGCTCCAAGGAAATAATCCCAAGTATATTAGCAATCTAAGTGAATGTAATAAACTTGACTGGAATTTGAACTCTGCACTCAATTCCTCAATCCAAGCCACTATCCATTACCCCATGCTCCCTTTCAGATTAGCTTAATGAATGGCTATTATTTGTAGGAAGGGGGAGGCTGATAAAACTACAGTAGATGCCAAGCTTTACTTTTCTTTTTCCTTGAGATTTCCAAAAAGAAAGTTTTATAATAGAAAAAAAATTGACAATCTTTAGCCTTCATGTCTACAAACTATCAAAAGAATTTTCCCCCTATATACTGCTATTATTTCAACTATCTTTGCTCCTTGACAATGTTTGTTTTAAAAAGCAATCAATTAGAATTGTAATAAAAGCGAGTTCATACATTTTTGATGAATTTGTAACAAAGATATTAAACATTACAAAAATAAAATAATTTCATATTTACATTCTAAAGCTTAATACAATTGTATTAAAATTAATATGGAATAATTATCGTTTTACCAATTTATAAAGGAATATGAAAACTATTTATTCAGAAATTTATAAAAATTTACTAAATTAAAGTATGTAAATCAACTATAAAGAAATCCTTATTTACTATCTTATAAAGTTTGAATTGATTGGCAATTTGCCAACCATTCCAATAAACTAATAAATGGTATTCATTATTTGTTATTCTCAAGAACAGAAGTTTTAGGGTTTATTACATTTCTAGTAATGCTTTTAAAGACAGACATTGCTGAGGAGTAAAGTTAGTTAAAATAATAGTAGTGTCATAAAAATAATATATATATATATTTTTTTTTTTTTTTTTTTTTCCAGGCACAAAGGTTAAATTGTCAAAAAAAAAAAAAGTCTTGCATACAGTTGGATGAAAGGCTCCTTTTTATCTAGAAATGGTGATCCTCTAGACATTTTCCTTACTGGTAACAGCACTTTGCCTTAAATTTTATTAAATATCTGCTTATGCAAATTTTTTTAAAAACTCCCTGCCCCCTCACGAACAGCTTTAAGTCAGGAATAAATGGGTAGGTTGGGAAATCTATTAAATTTTTTTTTTTTTTTTTTTTTTTTTTTAACAAAATGAAAGGACTGGGATAAATAGATCAGTTGTGGATGGGTGGAAAACAGTAGGTTTAAATTTAAATAGCCGGGCAAGCCTGTGTTTCAGATGCAAGAGTAAAAAGATTAGGTTTAAATGTTGCAAAGTCATTCCAACATAATCTTTTTTTAATAAGTAATGCCAAAAAGAGGAGTGGTGGGGGGGATGTAAATGTCAAAACAATTATAAGGTAAGATTGAATTTTGATATGTACTTCTGTCATTGTAAGTTGCTTTTGTGAAGGCATAGATAGCAGCTTGGATTGTGGAATCTGAGAGTTGAGTTCAAATTCTCGTCTGGTTCATTACATTCACTTACACACTAATACTTTCTCTTCCCCTCCCAGTTATGGGTAAATAGCAGAACAGATTGCATCCTATAGCCTTGGTTGGCAACTGGTTTAGAACTCTAAATTCAAACCAGCCTGGAGCAATTTGGGTTCCATTAACCTGTCTTGTCCAGGAAACATCACTACTACAGTAGATGTGACTCAAAGCGATTATGAGGTTTATGAAGTTGTTATCCATATGGTTAGATGGGAAGCAAAACTGAAACAACACACACATTTTTTTTCCTACTGGTAACAATTGGTATATCATCAAGGGTTTTTTTTTTTTTTTTTAAAAAAAAAAAACATCCAGCCCCTTCTTGACTCTTGAAACCCATAAAAGGTTTGACAACTTGATCTTTCTCCTCAAGACATGAGCAAATGATGGCTCTACAATTTATTCTTGGTAGATTTAAAAGTAGTTGGTCATTTGATTC